TCTGCAGCCGTCACTTTTAAGCTATTTAACCCTATAATGCCAAATGTATCATATTTGATCTGGTTTCTGAAGTCTTTTGGATCTGAGACTTTCTGCATCATTCAGTGGTAAAAGCTTTGCTCAAACCCCTGTTGTACACATTCAGATATACCTGATAACAGCCAGTAGAAGACTACACAAAAACACATTTTTGACTTATTGCACGCTAATTTGATCAAAATAACTTCTGTTTTTTTTCTTCATATGTTGTTGAGGGGCCAAGGAAAGACTTCAGACTTAAAAAAATCCAATATTCCTCCTATTTTTCTTGGATCCGGCTTTAAAGGGTTAATCTAAAACACTAATGTAAAGCATGTGCCATACAGAAAAACCTGCCTTTCCTACATACACTGATAACAGATTGATAAAGCCTTGAAGTCCACAAGTCGGTACGGTTAAGCTTGTATTTTGTTCTTTAGGCGATAATAGTGTCTCAGAGCTGTATGTTCCCAGCTTAGATGAGTTATTAGTGGTGGTTCTGTAAGAGGCCATTAGTGTGAAGGCCAGCAACAGAGCACAGGGACGGTTTGTCCCTTTTGGTGTAACAGGGATAGGAAAAAGGACAGAACTGAGCCGGGTGCTGTCTTATATCTATATAACAGGGTTAGGGTAAGGGGGGGATTAGTAGAAAATACTAAATGATAAGATGACAAAACAATATTTTTATTTAACATAATGTCAACATAAATTAAAACAAAAACAGGAAATTACTTATTTTGCTTTGAAGTCTTTATTTGGCCTTTTAACAAAATATGTAAAAAGAAAAAACAGAAATACATTTTTTGTATTAATAATTTATTACTATGCGATAAGTCAAGATTACTTTTTGTCTAGTCTTCTGCCCCCTGTTATCAGGTGTATCTGATTGTGTACAATAGGATTTTAAGTGAAGTTTTTACCATTAAATTATGCAAAAGGTGTCAGACGCAAAACATTTCAGAAACCGTATGTATCAAATATGATACATTTGGCACAACAGGGTTAAATGATTTCTCATTAAACTAACTCACATTGCTACAAAACTCTGGAGCCAAAAGGCATTAGAGATGTTTTGGGAGCTAGTTCCAGGCTTCCTTTGTTGTGTATTTAAAAGACTTAACTGTGCATCCATGTCCACCAAACCCTGAAAAGCATCCTGAAAAACAAACACTTAGACAGATCAATCCAGATGTTCACATCAGTGTCTATATAAACAACACACCATATCAGCACTTGATAAATAATGAGCTAAGACGCTAACGTTAACAAGCTAGCATGTGAAACCGACGGCTTTGTGCTAGAGAAAGACTTCAAAGAGGCAGAGAAAATAGCCCTCAAGTTTCTAAAGTTATCGCTGTGAAACAGAGCTGCTGGATGGCACAGAACAGAACTGATTGGCAGGGAAGAGAATTACAAACAAACATCTCAACTTCCTGTTTCCCCTGACATGACAGATCACATCCCAACACGGCGAACAGGCGCATATCAGCCTGATCTTTCTTGAATAAACACTACAAAGCTTGGGAAAGTCAGCCTTTCAGAAGTCTGTGTTAGAAAATAGCTTCTGTGCATCACTATACGTCGTTTTTTCGGTCGCTTGTTAGCTTTTCATGAAGGAATAACAGCATCACTATGAAATGTGTCATAGTGTGTTGACGCTAACAAAGCAACACAAGGACTTAGTGGAGGCTCAAGAATGAAGCAATTAATCATTAAAACTCAAAATTTGTAAGGTTTTGAATGCCTTTTTCTTTGTTTGCAGTCTATCGCAAATCTTAAAACCGTTAAGAAGTAATATGTGTATTATTCTACAATTAAAATGCATAAAACAAGTCATTGAGACACTACTAAGTAAACAAGTCTTAACCCTTTAAAGCCTGATCCAAGAATAAAACAAAACAGAAAATTACTTTTTTGGGGTTTTAAGTCTTTATTTGGCCTTTTAACAAAATATGTAAAAAGAAAAAACAGAAATGCATTTTTAATATTAATCATTTATTACTATGCGATAAGTCAAGATTATTTTTTGTGTACTCTTCTGCCCCCTGTTATCAGGTGTATCTGATTGTGTATAATAGGATTTTGGGCAAAGTTTTTACCATTAAATTATGCAAAAGGAATCCGACGCAAAACATTTCAGAAACCGTATTTATCAAATATGATACATTTGGCACAACAGGGTTAAATGATTTCTCATTAAATGTTAACAAAATCACATTGCTTGATAAATCTTCACAAAACTCTGGAGCCAAAAGCCATTACAGATGTTTTGGGAGCCTTTCTGAGGGGAAATGGATGCCATGTGTCGTGTTTTCTGTCGTCTTTTTAGCAGATTTTTGGAGCTGAAACCTGGGAAATGGGGACCGTTCGTTATGTGTAGCATTTCCTTTTTAATGTGTACCTTTTGTCTCATGGAGGGGGGGCTTTGAGGCCTTGGATATTTGGCTGAAGATAACTTCGGGCAGCATGAGAAACAGACTGAGAGCAGGTGTTGGCAGCCCACTGCAGGTTTTTCTGTTTTTTTTTTCCTCTCTGCCACTTTTAGTCGGCTTCGATTTTCCTCCCAAAGCTGGTTTCTGTTGCTGGTTCCAGGGCTAAGCCCACACACGAAAATGGCAGTGGGGACTTCTCAACTAAAATAAAGATCACATCCAAGCAGTTGCCTCTGTTTCTCTACAGGCTATGTGGAGGAGATTTGGATAAAATCCTGTTACCACTACAGTAGCATTCGCTGGATCTTTTACAGATCCTTAGCGGTTTAGGAAATTCAGAGGAGGATAAAACTCTTTTGGGCGGATGGCTCCATTGTTTCTCTTAAACAAAACCTCAGGTTTAAAGATTAATCTGATCCTGTAGACAAAATATGTCACACGTTAATAAGTGGTTAATCATTGGCTGCTGAGTTTCCATTAACCCTGTAATGCCAAATGTATCATATTTGATACATACGGTTTCTGAACTGTTTTGCGTCTGACACCTTTTGCATAATTTAATGGTAAAAACTTTGCTCAAAATCCTATTGTACACAATCAGATACACCTGATAACAGGGGGCAGAAGACTACACAAAAAATAATCTAGACTTATCGCATAGTAATAAATTATTAATACCGAAAATATATTTCAGTTTTTTCTTTTCACATATTTTGTTAAAAGGCCAAATAAGGAATTCAAACAAAAAAAAAAAGTAATTTTCTGTTTTGTTTTATTCTTGGATCAGGCTTTAAAGCGTTAAAACCGACCATTTTCAAAAAAAGATAAAACATTTCTGTGCTGTCTGACTCTGAAACATGCGTCACACTTGGTCTGATGACATATAAAATCCTTATTTTCCAGGTCTGTCTGCTGCTGTCCAGAAGTTTTCCCAGTCCCTGCAGGAGTTCCAGTTCGAGTGCATCGGCGATGCAGAAACAGACGACGAGGTGAACATCGGTAAGTTCAACTCAGGAGGAGGCATTTCATCCTGCTTTGTTCTCCGCGTGAACTAAAACAACTGGTGGAATTTGGGGATAAAAGAGATGGCCGTCATAATCAAATGTTCAAAGTCATTAATTAAAAAAAGAGTCAGAAGCGAGTGTCTTTGATTAAAGGGGACATATTATGCAAAACCAAGTTTTTAATCATGTGATTGTGTACATTTGGGACTGTGGAGGGCCTATCAGCAGGCAAAGTGTGAAAAAAAATGACTGGGTCATGTTTTTGTGGGCCGCCTCAGTCTGAATCCAGGAGATAAATCAGGAGGTTTCAGGAGTGGGTAGTTTCTGACGTCAT